TCCATTAAATAAGAAATTAATTCATTTGTATTTTTTTGGGGAGCAATAGTAGTTTGATCTTAAATGCTTTTATTGCATGAGCTACTTGTGACTGAGAATGATCAATCTTTTTTTTTTCAAAAAAATCTAGTTTTGGTTAGATACTTCAGCTGCAATTGCCCTTTAAAGTTTGTTTGCGCATAATGATAATCATCTTGCATAAAAATTTCATTATGATTTTTTTTATGTTTTGTATTAATGCTCCATGAATATTTGATCAATAATTATGAACGTGTATATATATACATTTGAGAACAAATGGAACAACATTTTCTAAGTTCCCAAGATGTGCTAAAACATTGTATCTTAAAATAGCTCTAAGTGCTACTTTTTTGAAAAATTTTCGAAAAATTTTAATTTGACTTTTAAACATCATAAAATTATCAATAACAATTAGCCTGATGTGATATTTTAAAGTGTTATGGTAATCATTTCAACAAACATTTTCTTACTAATACACAACATCGATTTTTTTAGTAAAAAAACGAGTATTTGTATTACCCGTTTATTCGATTATTTTGACGGATCATCAAGTGAGTCAATACTTTTTGTAGGGGTGTGTAAATCTAACAATGATTTCATCATCATCATTTTCATTATACATGCTGCCCAATCCCAACCTGTCAAAGAATTCCCAAATTCCAAACTACTTTGTACATCCATGGCATTTTACCTCCCAATAAATAAGTGCCCAGGGTTTGTGAAAGTGATCAGCAACCCCTTCAGTGCAGGAGGATTCATCTGTTTACATAATCTATCAAATGAAATTTATATTAACATTAGGAAAATGATAATAGTAAATCTATAACAATAAAAAAAACTAACATCATTGTTGCCATCTTCATCATAAACTATAACTATTCCTAATTCTGCAATCTTATTAAAAAAAATTTTTGTCAATATAAAACTGACAAAATGTGAAAGCATAAAATGAATAAATAGAAAAATTGTCACATTCTCATCATTCTTATCAAAGTCATCAAATAAAATATATCCACTATATTTTCTAGACAAGTTTCAAATGATTGGACCTTCTCTTTTCTTTTTTCAGAATTTGATCTATTGCTTCTTCAGGTATACTTTTAATATGACCCAATTTAACAAAGTTTTTTATCCCCATCTATAATAATAAAAGAAGATGATGTAATATTTTTAGTTTTCATTCAATATAATATTATATATGATTAAGAATTAAATTAAAAATTATATCATAAACATACCAATAGTAGTTGTTGATCCCTCTTTTTAAAATTTCCATTATTAGTAGTGGCAGAAAAGCCACTAGATTAAAATGATTAAAAGGCAATAACAGTTATATAAAAACTCTTTAATTCAATCAATATAATTAAAAATCCAACAAAGAAATTATTCATAACAATATGTATGCAGTGTTGTACAGCATAGTGGACATTCGTTTTATCACATGTGACAAAATCGATCGTTGATCTTTTTTATGTTGTGAAACATGTGAC